TAAATGAAACATCTATTATTTATCTTGCTCCCTGTGGCTCACTCCACTCAGGATAATTCCTTCCTCTTCCACCCACATTGCCGCAAATGGCACGAGCTTATCTTTTTTGGATTGCTGAGTAGTGCCCCACTGAATATATACAAGACATCTTCTTGATCCACCTTTCTGTTCTAGGGCATTTATGTGTCTCCGTATCTTGGCTATTGTAAAGAATACTGCTATCAATATAGGGGCACAGGTTTCCTTTTGAATTAGTGTTTTTGTGTCCTTTGATTAGCTACCGAGTACTCTAGCTTCTCTTTTTTAAAAAAAATAATCATCCATTTATTTAGCTATTGTTTACAGAGAGATTGGTATATTAGGTACAATATTAAGTATGTGGGCATTATAAAAATAGCAAAGACAGAGGGCTGACTCTCAACTAGTGAGAGCTTAAGGTATGTGCCAGTGTTCAGCAGGTAATACAGATAAGCCAAAAATTATGCCACATACACTGTCTTCTCTGCTCAGGGCTATACTAGACCCCAGAAGATTGAAGAGAAGGGAAAGGGGGCCTTTCTCTGCCTTCAAAGCACTGATAATCAGTACAGGGGATACCAGGCACACACAAGCCAGAGCATACTTGCAATAAGCATGCCGTTTAGCTATCTAGACACTTGCTATCACAGAGAGAAGAGGCAGTGCCCACGAGCCCCTCAGTCACACGGGCTCTGAGTGGAGTCTGGAGCAAGGGCCTGAGTCACCCCCATGTTTGGGAGCCAGGTGAAAGAAGGCATGTAAGAACCAATACGGTCTATAAAGAGCTTTGAAATCTGAGGTCAGCACAGGTTACATTAAGAAATAGAATTTTCAAAGCCTATGTTCCCAACAACCCTTTGATTTTAAGTGAGCTCATGACTAGAAGTTGAGAGAATGGACTGTTCCACTGTCCTTGAGCAAGAACTTGGAGTTCTCGTCAGAAGAGTGGTCTCTCTGCCTCAGCCCTTAACCAACCTACTGTGAGGTCTGAAATAGCCAGGTTGTCTGTCGCCAGTGCTCATCAGTTAAGAAGCACTGTCTTCAGAGAGATGAAATTAGTGTTTGATATTTTAAAGGAAAAAATGACATTTCCTATAAAGTCAAAGTACTATGTAAGTAGGAAAAAAATAAGTCATAATTCATATGGTCTAAAACTTGTCATTTAGGTAAAATTTCATTGTTGTATCAGTATTGTCGTTGTTTTACCAAGTTACATCTAATGAGATAGAACCATAACTGCCTTGCTAGTCCTGAAGTGACAGCGTCCTAACTTCAAACAGCATCAGTGAGTACTTGCAGCCCTTACTTCTGCTCCCTCCTCTCCCGAAATCCCTTGTTAGTATTGCCTCATTAGAAGGGATAGGTGCCCCCTACCGCATTACAAGAGCAAAGAAGAAAGGGATAGGCCTGAGTCTAGCAGTGCCAGACTCCCGCCTCCATTTTTACCATTCTTTGTCAGGAATGTCGGTGAACTCCCTTACATGAGAGTTGATCTCTGGAATCATTTGCATGTTCTACCTATCAGCTGCTGGTATTTTTATTTCATTGGTCAAAATACATAGATTTAAGAAATGTTATTTTAAAATGCTTTTATTTTGAGATCACCTTTTTGACTCTTGATTCATGAAGGCAGTGAAGTGGGAGTAAAGTAGTGCATGTGGAATTTTGACTTTCTTTTAACATCAAAATATAACCTAAATGACTAATCCTTTATGCAACTGTAGACTTAATCAGGCTTATAAATCATAGCTTAATAACAGGAAATAAGCCCTGATAATGGCAAACTACAAATATAATGTGTGGTGCATATTGTTGTTCTGGCCTATATTCCTCACTAAAATCAGAATCAGTAGAAGTTATAATTCATTTGATAAAAAAGACATTTGAATATTCAAGATTCAGAAGTATAAATCAAAAATTTGTAAATATTTACACAGAGCCCAACTCAAAAACTACAGAGAATTTTGTAGATTCTCTCACTAAATTTTCTTTCTAAAACCTTACTTGAAAAAAAGTATTTGGATTCTAGCCATTGTATTCACCAAAAACATAGAAAAGAACTCATCTTCTTAAACTGTACTATAAATAACTATACTGCTGCAAATCTATTTTAAAAATCAAGCAACCAAATACAAAAATGGGTTCAATAGTTCAGAAAACAGTTCACAGAAGAGGAGACCCAGCAAACAGGAAAAATGTTCATCCTCACTTTTAATCAGAGAATTGTAAATTCAATCACAGTGACATAGCATTTCATATTCAGGAAATTAGCAAAAACTTACAAGCGTAGCATATCAAATTTTGGCAAGGATGTCAAACAATGGGAACTTTCAAGCCTCCTATGGAAATGTAGACTGGTGAAAATACTTTGGAAAACATTTTAGTGTCATCTTATAATACACATATGCTAAAAATCAGAAATTCCACCTCTTGGTGATTATACGATCTGGAAAGTCCTGCTCCTGTTTACTGGAGACATGTATAAGCGTTCAGTGTAACATATTTTATAACAGCCTCCTCCCTGGCAAAAATAAACTTCAAACAAGAAATATCCTTCAATGAAATTGCCGCATATCTGACAGTGGACTACTATGGTAGGTTAAAACAAAAGAACTAGGTCTAGGACATATTTATGTGACTAAATCTTAACATGTTGCATGAAAAAGTGAGCTGCAAAAGGTGGCCTAGAAAGTATAAAACCTTACAGAACTTACTATGTTCATGGGTACACATATTTGTATAGGAATGGCAAGAAAGAGGAACAAGGTGAGTAGATAAATGCAGTAGATAAAAGAAGTTTCAACTTGTTTTTATAATAGTTCACTTCTTAAATTGGGTATTCTATACACAAGTGTTTTTAGGTATCATGCAATATGACTTTCTGTCTATGTGACATTAAACAAAGAAAAAGTAAACCATGTTTTTCTTTCTCAATGTGGTTGTCTCAAAATCTTTTGTCAGAAATTCTAATTAATTTGCATGCAGTAAATACACAAAGGAAAATTACTTTGAAGGGAAAAAGCTACAAAATGGGCTTTTTTTTTAAAGATTTATTTATTCATACAGAACTGGGGTACAAGCCAGAGGTACAGGAGTAGTGAGAGGATTCACCAGAGTGGGGAGCAGAACAGGCAGATTGACGAAGTACACTGCTGAGGGGAGCAGTGGGTGGGTCAGGAGAGGCCTGCCATGCCGTGTGGATCACCTCCCTCGCCCGGGATCAAACTAGCTGGCTGCAGCTAGCTTCACAGTGCTGTGCTTTAAGCCGTTGCACCACTAAAATGGGCTTTTTAATCAGCTCTAACTGCCAAAACAAAATACCACATCCTGGATGGCTTAAATGACAGAAGTTTTTTTCCTCACAGCTCAAAATCCTGGAAGTCCCAGATCAAGAAGCTAGCAGGATTAGTATGTGGTGAGGGCTGCCCTTCGTTACAAATGGCCCCGTTTTCTGCTGTCTCCTCACATGGCCTTTCTTCAGTGTGTGGGTACAGAGAGAGAGGGATTTTGAGTTTTTTCTTATAAAGACACTAATCTTGTTGGAATCAGGACCCTGCCTCAAGACTTCCTTTAGCCACATTTCTTGTTTAGAGGCCCCATTTTCAACTGTAGCCACATCAGTCTTCAACATATGAATTTTGAAGAGACACAAGTATTTTTTCCATCACATAGACTGTAATGTCCTCAGAGGAAGAACATGAAAGATGAGAAAGTTGCAAATAAAAGTTACCATTTACTTCCAGTTTTGTGGGTGTACAAATGAAGTAGTATAGACCCCTTTCAAACTTCTCAAGGTTTGTTTTTCCCCTGTAGGTTTCTGGGTTTTCTCTAAGTTTTGTTTTGTTTTCATTGGTGTTTTCAAATGAATTTTGTCATCTTTCATTCACCCTACTTCTTCCTCTGCCTCTCATTTACTTTTCCTTGCATATACTCTGCTCTTTATAATTTTTCCATTGTTCACTTCTATTTTGATGGCTAAGACTTGGATTTTTCCCTTGTTTGGCTTTTAAGATGTACATTATAAAAAGTCTCTAAAATATATAACTAATGATTTCTGAAAATCTGATATTATATAATCTTAACTGAATCCCACAACTACTGACTTCTTAGAAGTCTTTTTAATTATTTCCCTTTTCAGTAAAGTTTTTATAATTTGAACCAGTTAATATACAAAATATATGTTTGCATCTAGTTTCATGAGTCCCTTTTCATTTACTTTCATCCATTTACTTATACACGTAACATTTACACTCACAAGAATAATTTATATATGAAAGTAGAATAGGAAGCAAAGCACTATACAATTTAAGGAAGTTAAGAGAATGCCAGTCTCTTTGTTTCATTTTTAAGATCCACAGTCTTTCTTTAGGTGATGTAAGTGGTGGAAAGTCTTTGACTTGAGTTGCCTGCAGCCATACTGTTCAGGCAATAATCACTCTACAACCGATTAGCTAGATTAACTACCCTGGGTCAGTATTCTGAAGGAAATCCAAACCTGTACAAATCTCAAGAGAAAAATCACTGGTTGCTGCATTTATTTTTATGATACCATCTGATAGCTTTCAGGGAATGCTTTCGTAGTGGCATTGCTTGCCTCAAAGTGGAAAATAATATGCAGATCAAGACTTCATTCATTGTGACAGGTAGAGAAATTTAGCAGCACTGCTGACTGACTGGACATGAAATGCAGAAGCCAGGTGTGCAGCCTTTGGTTTAGATGTCTCAGCCCAACAGTTGACGCTGAGAAGGCTCTGAGAGCATTTAGTTTTCTGACAAGGGGCCTGGTTAGGAAGGCACCATGGTTGCTATTTAGCAAATGTTGTGTGACCTTGCCTTGAGAAAGTTGGTAAGTGTCAGCGGCAGAGGACCTTGTGCTGCTTTGACAAATTAAAATCATCCATCATAAGGGATTTTTTTTACGTGCTCTACAGTTTTTATTGATTTATTTCCCGGGTGCTAAATGACTTCATCATTTCCTATAGGAGGAACAGCTAAAGTCTCATGAAAGCAAACTGAAGCAGATCACCACCGAGCTGGCCGAGCATCGCTCGTATCCCCCAGACAAGAAAGTGAAAGCCAAGGAGATAGACGAGTACAAGCTGAAAGATCACTACCTGGAGTTTGAGGTATGAATCTAAATGTAATAACTTTTTTTTTCCATGAAACAAAAAGGAAGTGTGTTGCACAGTTACAGTGTCTTGCTGCCCCCAGCTCTAACCTGGAACTCCAGCATTATCTGGGTCACCACAGTTCCCTGTGAATCTGTTAAAACCTCCCTCACACAAACATCAAAACTATCAAGTTAAGCACTTAAAAGCCTGGTGGGATGGCCTGTGTCTGCTGCTCTGATGAAAAATGGCAGGCACAATAGATGAACAGCCAGGGCAGACAACGACCATGTGTCTGGTCTCTTCCGGATGAGCTTACTGAAGAAAGTCCAGCGGGGCAACGAGCAGACTGACCTGAGCATCAGTTGTCCTTCCCATCCCCCCGGTAGGCACTTTGCCTTTTACCACTCACTACCCAACAGAAGGAGGTCGGAGATCAAGGAATTAAGTGGAGGTGCATCCACACCCCTCATAAGCGTGGGTAGTAGACAAAATGGGGAGGATCCATAAGCTTTGGCAAGGTAGAAATGTCAAGGCAAGTTTTCTGGAAGCAGCATTGGTAGTAAATGTTTCTCCCAAACAGACAGTATCAGTGCTGTCTGTGCAGGTTCCTGACTCTCCCTCTTCAGCTGCCACCTTAAGATTTAAAATGTCTTTATTTTTTTAAGTCAGCAGCATGTGTTCCAAAAATGAAAAATCATTACTTTGACTTTTTCACATTCCCCCCCACTCACCTCCTGTTAGGTGTGCTGACTTCCCTCTTTATTCTCTTTCATTCCTCTCCCTTATTCCCACCTCACCACCTTAGTTCTTCCTGGGCTTTAAAGTAGACTCACCTGAGCACCTGCCTCTGCACCCCCCCCAGCACATGCCACCCCCACCCCCAGATATAATCAGAAGCCACAGCCTACACCTGCCTCTGCAGTGCCCCTCACTGTCCCCTCCTCCTATGGCCGCTGCGTTGATCTTTCTCCACTCACATCCTGGGCCCTGGCCCTCGCCTGCCCCAGTGGCTGCCTTCTGGCTGTCCCCAGTAGACCCTGTGTACTCCTGACAGTTCTTCTATGGCCCAACCCGAATTACGGCTTTCATCTGCTCAACAGCTGCCCTTGAGTTTCTCCATCTCCCCCCCAAGTTTTTCATCTGGATAAAGTCCCAGTCCTCGACCTCAATTATTCAGGCTCCTCTGTCTTTCCACAGCATTGGTCTTCACCGCTGCCTCCAGGTGTTAGCCGTGTTTCTGCCCACACTCTCCAAGCACACTTCTCTGCCTTTGTTCCTTCACTCCCTTTTGCCCCAGATGCTCTTCCCTCGTCTTCACTTTTGAAAGTCCTGTCCATCTTTCAAAATGCAACCCAAATTCCTCCTATGAAATTCTGCTTGAAACCTTTCAGCTGAGATGATTATTATTTTTTAAACATCCTCGTTTGTTTTTCACAGTACAGGATTTCTCCCTTCAGATGCCATCCTGCTACCAAAGTGCCCACAGGTGTCCACTACCCTCTGCTACTCCCCTGTTCTCTCCTCCCCTCTCCCTTCCTGGGCATCTCAGATCTATGTCTGCTTTCAGGGTCAGTCTTATAGTTTGTTTTTGTCTGGTCCTTTATTTCTCTAGATTCCACATGTAAGTGACACCAGTTGGTATTTATATTTCTCCTTCTGTCTCACTTCACTTAAAATAATTCCTTCCAGTTCCATCCATGTTGCTAAAAATGGCATGAGTGTATCTCTTTTGATAGCTTTGTAGTATTCCATTATGTATATTACCATATCTTCTTGATTCCCTCTTCTGTTCTGGGGCATTTAGGCTGTTTCTTAGCTATTGTAAATAGTTACTAGCTGAGATTAATCTGTTATAGTCCTGACCACAGTTCACTTGATGCTGAAGTTTTTTTAATGTCTTTGCAGCTATGGTAGCTTCTCTACTACTTCCCCCTACCTAAAATTATGAGTCCTTAGAGTACAGATATCTCAAGTTCATTTCTAGTGTGTATTCTACATTTGTTGAACAGGATTTCATGGAAGCTGAAAAAGTCGCTTTCTGGGCTATAAAAATCCCTGTTGCAAAGTGTGGCCTTGGATCCATATATTGGTCAGTCAGGCAAGCCCTTGCTCTGGACAGATGAAGAGAAATCCCTATTTTAGTAAAGATACAGTTAATTAGTGAGACCTGTAGAAACCTTACCAGCAAAAAACTAGAAAAAAAAAACAGCAACAACAAAAATCTAAGCAGCTCCTCTTTCCCCCCTGGCTTGTTCATTCTTGGGAAATGGAAGCTCTCAAAAAGCAATCATATTTCTTCACACTTTCAGAGTGAATTTCAGCCACAGACCCATTTTGTTTCACACTTGCTAATTAAATTTCCCAACACCTCAGTCCCCTGCTTCCAGCACTCATGCCTTACTTTGAGCCCTTGACTCTGAAGGCTGACAGCCCCATACCTAGGATGCGGGGGTGGTTGCAATGCATGAAGGTTGTACTGTTAGAAGGGCTAAGGACGCCCTGCCTTTGGGTCTACTGAAAATGCAACCCAGTAAGAGCCAGTATTTTCATTTCCTGTCAGGATCTTAGACCATACTTTGTGGGGATTAAGTCTTGCTTTCATCAAATTGTCACCTCAAGTAGCCTGAAGATTCAGGACCCTGGCTCATTAAATTGATATTCAAATGCTAATATGCCAAGTATGTTGGATTGTCTGTCAGGCTGCATTAACCTGTGTCTACCAGAGAGGTAGAAGGGTCCCTCACTTTATACATATCATCTAAGGAGGAATTTGTAAAAATAATCCTTTTTAAAATATCAATCATTATTTTTCGATAACTTAAAACTGAAATAGTGTATCTTATGGGATCCACTTTGCTGTTATTTCAACCACCAAAATGGCCTTTTATGTGCTCAAGGAGGTCTTTGTATCGGATTAAGTATTTTTTAAGCACCATTCCCTAAGCCAGCTGCTCAGTCCTTGAGTGTTTGTAGCCCTGTCCTAGTTTCTAGAACCTCAAATTAATGTTCCATATGTATCTGTTGAGTGACTGAATGGAATTTTCTGTTGTGTATAAAAGACAGCATTGGGATGAAGTAGTTCTCTGAGGAAGCTTAATCATTCCCCTGAAAACAAACCTGGTGGGCAGGTGAGAATTGCCTGCAGTCTCTGCAGTTCCCCATGAGCCTCACATGGGCAGTGGGAGTAAAGGAGACACTGATCTCTCCTGAGTCCTTGTCACCAAGGAGGACTTAGAGGCAGGATTAGCTCTCTCACCATTTCCTATAGAGAGTTTCAGAGAGTTCTTAAAACAGTACTAGTAGGGAAAAAATGTCTTCACTTTGTTATAATATGAAGATGGAATAATAATTGTTCCTAACTCTAAGCATCTCTGTTGTTTACATCCAAGTTGTTTTGATCATAAACATTTTGATCATGAACATTTTGAACAAATTCATAGCTCTTTCTATGCCTTAGCATTCCTCCAAGTTCTGATAAAAGTAAATAATTAGAAACTCTGGACAGTAAGTAGTCAGGGTCTTGTTTGTTTACTGTTGTATTTTAAATCTATACAAAATCTACAGCAAACAAAGAGGTGTCCATCTATCTTAAACTTAGCCAGTAAGAATCACTTTTACTTAAAACAGCCAAATTTCACTCACAGTAAACTATAATTGACAAAAGTCATGCCTCTCCCTTTGTTGATCATTAATGAAGGGGAAAGGAGAATGGCTTTGTTGTTGATTGAATTGTGCCCCTGAGCTGTGTTGTTACTTTTATGACTTCCTGGGAATCTAATCTCACCTGTGAAAGAGATTAGGCATCAGGAATATGCTTTAAGAGGCTCACCATCGTTTTCCAGTTTCATAAAATAAATATCAGAAATAGCTTCACTTCCTTTAGATTAACTTATCACTATTTCATTAAGTTCCCATTTCACTTCAAAATGTTTGAATTGATCTCCATGTATGTGGTGCATTTGGAAATTTATCAAGATGTGGCAATGGATATTTTGTACTAGATATTAAAATCTATAAAGCTCAAGCCAGTGACAGTACAGTATTTAATCTGTGCCAGGAAATTCCTGGGCCCTTGCAAAAACAGGCCCATTAAAAAAATTCCTTTGATAGCACTATAGGTGGCCCCAGAAATCTGGTTTTGTATTTCTTCAGCTTTCAAAACAATAACAATTAAAAGATACTGTTTATTCCAAGATGTTTTTCATGTAACATTTAAGATATCTCAGTGGCTCAGTACTTTGTCCTTAGACCTGAATAAGAAAAGGGAGATAGTGTTGCAGCCCAAACTATTAAAATATAGCTGTGCTCTAAGGGATTTGCTGATGGAATTAGTGAGGGTCAAGTTCATAGAGTCTCCCAAGGTGCACTGTAGAGCCTAGTGGAACCTAGTGGCCAATGTCAAGGAATAGTACTGGCCAGCACACCAAGTGTCATCATGTTTTCTTTGGCCAGCAAGTACTGTTGTTTCTTTTCATTGTAATTTGAATGCCTTTGGGGAAGACAGCTGGCTCCTCCCTACCCTCTCTAGTCACACCTAGTAGATTTGCATGGTTGAGTTAGTGGCCTAGTCATTGAAGATCTTTGAGTTTACAGCCCCTCTTCATAGAGATGGCATGGTGGTTTGTACTTTGCATCTTAGACCTTTGAATATGGTCTTTGGAGTCAACATCCCCTTCAGGGTTAGAAGTCAGGCACTTCTAGGTATATACGTTTTCAGGTTCTAGTCCACCAGGAAAGAAATTTCACTTCCCTGATGGCACAGCCCAGATGCAAAATAAAGTCCACTTGATGAGCTGGAATTCAGAGTGCTCACTCCCAAACCATGACCTGGAGTGGCATTTACTTATGGTGCAGGACAATACGGACTCACACTAACCACATGGATAGGAAACTCAATTTTAGAAACAACAAATGTCCACTATAGCAAAACATATATATGTCTTGGGACAGATATTTTAAATCTAAAAATCTGGGACATTCTTGAATCATGATGCATGGCCTGAATTTCTAATTTT